GTGACACAGGTATGCAACATGTTTTATGACTATCTTATATTTGGAGCTGTTTTCTTTTTTTAAAAGACTTACTTATCTGTTGGTGCTGGGTTAGGGTTAAAAAGCCAAGGCCCTGTGGGTGCTAGGCAAGTGCTCTGGACAAGCCACACCCACAGGCCTGAATGTGGTCTCAGTCAGTAAGGCAGGGACTCTGGGAGAAGAGTTCCCCACTCAGGTCTCTGTTTAGTCCAGGCCATTTTGGTAAAAGCATGAACAGATCAATCTAATTTTTCATATTTTGGAAATTAGTACTTTTGTAACCACCTGCTTCAAATACATTTCCGGGGGGACATGGAGGAGTGTGGAATGAACTAACATGTTCAAGGATGGAAGGCGATCAGGAAAAATGGGACTGGTTTATTTTTACCTTGAAATTGCCATGTGCTTGTCCATCCGAGCTTTTAATTCTTCGTTCTCCTGCTGGGATCGCTTCAATTTGTCAATCAGAGTTGTGTTGTTGTCCACCTTGGCATAAAGAAGAATTCCAACTTCTATTATACAGTAGTGAGAAATACAATTCCTTTGTTTCTTAAGATATATTTCTGACATGCTCATACTTTGGAGAGATTTAATTAGGTAAATTTAAAAGCACATTGAGGTATTTATACCCTGACACACGACAAAGAGACTCTAAAGCAACAAAATAGAGCATGTAGATACTATGTATTTAAAAAAAATATGCCAGGCCACTTAAAAACTGACACGCCCAGGTCACATTTTTAGAATCTCCTCTGAGAGCTGGTGCCCTGCCCCGGGGAACCTGGGCACTGGGCCTGTTCTCTTTTAAGGTGGTATAGCAAATGCTGCAGCTGAGCAGCCTGTTTGTCACAGCTATTCCTGTCATGAGTTTTGGGTGAAAAAACCCAAAAAACAACTCACATGAAAACTTGTATGCCAACAGTTCATAGTTCTTGGCTGCTTTTAGTAAGGCCTTAAATACATTTCAGATTTATAGTTACTCTTCAGCATTTATCTCTGAGTGGCCACACAAAAGTACAATGCAGCAAAGTTCGTAGAGCATCAAATGAAAGAAGTAACACTACAGAAGGTTTCTCTCCTTGGCTCAATGCAAAATACACCTGTTCTCCTGCCTATGCGGAACTTTCAAGGGGAGCAAGCTGATCAGCTGAGAGATTAAAGACATTTAATCACTTAACATGATGGGGAGCTGATTCCATCCCAGCTCACTTTCTAAAGCCACGATTTTATTACTTAATAGGCAACTACACACCTTGGTCAGAATTAATTTTAAGGTACTGTCATTGCAGCATTATGATTACTCTACTTTGACTAAAGTGCCTAGTTTGGATCTCTATTCTGAAGACATCCCAGTATCAAGAAAATGCTCAGGGCAAGCCATTCAGGTGAAACAACTTCCTAGAAAACAAGTCTACAATAAAATAAAAAGGGACTATGAAATGCTTGGTAACTATGGAAATTCAAAATAAAAACATAAGGTGGGAAAATCTGGAATTACAGACTGGGTGGTGATTGATCTTAAAATACTATCTGGTCCAGGCCGGGGATTCAGCTCAGCGGTTCCACCGCCTGCCTCCCAAGCGCAAGTGCAAGGACCTGAGTTTGATCCCCAGTCCCAAAATAAAACAAAGCAAAACAAAA